CCTCATTAGTTCGGGTGGCCGATCGCATACCCAGCCCACCCTCATCCTTCGGCTTGCAGAGCGTGTCCCAATCCACCAGGTGGGTCTTTCTTCCTCCCTCCGTGCTCCCCCAGATGAAAGCTCTGACCTTTTTGTCAATATACTCGCGGACGCTTGCTGGCAAAAAAGAAGTCTGCATGGTGTACGAAGGAAGCGAGGATAGAACCGACTGCGCGAGAGTGATGCGCGCTGCCAAACTCATCGTCTCCGCCTTCCACCCTGCTAGCCTCCTGTCAATCCTGTCAATCAGCTCAATATAGGTTGCCTTGGACACCCGATCGTGAATGACCGGTACTCCCAAGTACCGGCCAAGGTTCAAAGTTAGTGGAATCTCTAGTTCGGCGCTCAGGGCAGCTCTCTTGTCCGAAGTCACATTGTTTGAGAAGAAAACTCGAGACTTCGGCTTGCTCACTTGTTGCCCCGACGCTGCCCCGAAACGCTCGAAACACTGGAGAATAGCTTGAGCTTGCTGCGTCGAAGCTTCCCCAAACAAAATTAAATCATCTGCAAAAAACAAATGTGATAGGGTCGGCCCGTCACTGGTCAACTTGATAGGTTGCCAATTCCCGTCCCTAACAGAATCATTAATGAGATGACTTAACCGTTCCATGCATAATGTAAAAAGATAGGGAGAAAGAGGGCATCCCTGTCTGAGACCTCGCGAGGGTGAGAACTCATCGGTAAGACCCCCGTTCCATTGAATTTGCATGGTGGCTGATGTGATGCAAGCCATAGTCACCTCGATTAGCTTCGCAGGGGCCCCTGCCGCCTCCAAAGTATCTCGCACAAACTCCCAGCGGATCCGGTCATACGCCTTTGCTAGATCTACCTTTAGCACCATCCAACCCTTTCTACCTTTCTTCGCCCGCATGGAATGCACCACTTCCTGTAGAATGCAGATGTTATCCGTTATGTGCCTGCCCGGAACGAAACTTGTTTGGGTCTCGTGGACGAGCTGGGGCATCAAGGGTTTCAGCTTCTCCGCAATGGTCTTCGTTAGAATCTTGTATGCCACATTGCATAGACTGATGGGCCGGAACTGCTCGATCGCAGTCGGAGTTGTCACCTTAGGAATTAGTACCAGGACGGTGGCATTAATATCTCGTATGCAACTCGGCTGGTCCCAGCACCTCTTAAGTAGATCAGTTACCGAGGAGCCTATTGTCATCCAACACCGCTGGAAGAACAGGGGGTTTAAGCCGTCCTTACCTGGAGCTTTCAACGCTCCCATCGATCGGATTGCCTGAAGGAAATCTTCCGAAGTCGGTTGCCTTCCAATATCCTGCCATTCTCTAGCCTCCAAGACAGGAAAGTCTCGGGGAAGAAGAATAGCAGTCTCATTCTCATCAGTATACAGCCATGCGAAGAAAGACAGCGCAAGTTGCTGGAGCTCCGACTCCTCATCCACCCATTCCCCCGCCGAGTTTTTCAAGGTCACTATGCGGTTTCTTTTTCTACGCGTCAAGGTCCTAGAATGGAAATAGGACGTGTTCCTGTCACCCGACGAAATCCACTCAAGGCGGGACTTCTGACACCAAAGTAGCTCCTCTTGGAACAAAACCAGCTCGAGCTCTTCTCTTGCACTATCCAACTGAGCGGACATAGACGAGGAGCCGTCTCTGAACTCCAGCCTCTCTATACGCTTCAAGAGTGCCTCTTTCCTTCGCAATATATGGCCGAAAACATGAGCATTCCACTGTATTGCGTCACTAGCAAAGGCTTCGGCGGACTGGAGGAAGGAGTCCCCCTTAGCCCATGCTGCCTCTAGCATGTTTTTGAAATCATCGTGCGTTAACCAAGCCGCTAGGAACCGAAAAGGTCGGGGCCCTCCTGGTTGTGTAGAAGAATTCGTAGTCACCAGGATCGGTCGGTGATCAGATTTGATTCTGGGCAAATGACGCACAGAAGTTTCCGGGCAGGTCGTCGTCCAGCTGTTGTTCGATAGTGCTCGATCAAGCCTCTCGCGAACCCCATTTCTGAACCAAGTATACGAGGGCCCGTTGAAACCCAAGTCCACTAGGCCCGCATCATTCACACAGTCCTGAAAGTCCCGAATCCTGCTGGCATCAAACGGAGCTCCCCCCAATTTTTCTGACGGGTGGAGAATGGAATTAAAGTCGCCAACAATTAGCCACAGAATCTCTTGCTCCTCGGCAATCCCTTCCAGCGCCTCCCAGAGTTGTCGACGTTGGATAGGTGCCGGATTTGCATACACAGCCGTGAGATTCCACTGATTATCTGGTCTCCCTGCCCCATGCACACGTACATGGATGTATTGGCTATGGCTATCAACCCTGTTAATCGTGAACTCCCCCTCATTCCACAGAAGCCAGATACCCCCTGAGAACCCCGAAGCATCCACAATTAACTGCTTATCAAAGCCCATCTCATTAATCACAGTTTGCGCGGTTGCCCCACTAATTCGAGGCTCCACAATAATCACTATATTTGGTTTATAACGCCGCTTATATTCCTTGTAGACTCGGATGAATTTCCTACTTCCAGCTCCCCTACAGTTCCAAGTAAAGATACACGGATTCATTGGGTGAGGTGGATTTCTGAGGCCCTTTCCTGTGTCACGTTGGTCGGGGTGAACCCCCCCAAATATGCGCCCTCTGTTGGCATCCCTTGTTCAGGTTGGGTAGAATGGTTTTCTTCTCCCTGCAACTCCACCAAATTCGGGGGGCGCCCCCATGCTGCCGAGGCAAGGGTCTTGTTATTCTCGGACAAAGGAGTTGCTTGGTCGGCTGGGGGCGCTGAAGTTGTTGCAAGCTCCGAGGGATTAGCCGGCCCAGTGCTCAGCACACCTCTCGTCGTGCGATCTGCTCTAGGTAGCTGCGGCGACGTAGCGTGCATGTCCTTCACAGGCTCCGCCCCCCCATGCACACGTTCACTCTCTCCTACTTCCTTAGTCTTACCTTTACCACCGCCAGTACTCTTAGTGAGTTTATTGCCCATAGCCGCCTCGCGGACTGAGTTGTCTCTTCCATTCAGTTTGTCACTAGGTTCTTCCATACTACCTTGAGTTTCCTCGGTGGCTAGTACACTAAACCGTGAACCTCCCTTCGCTTGATCTCCCTGACTGGTTCTCGTGGGTCCCTTGGATGCCTGGCCAACCGTCTCCTTCCGCACTGTCCTAGGTCTGCGCTTAGCTATCATCCATTCCCCATATGTCTTCTTAGGTTCCTTCACTTGTGATGTCTCTTGCATTATGGGGGCCTCGGTATCCATCGAATCCGGGGCAGCCGTGCAATAGCATTTTGAGCGCTCGAAGTACTTCCCACAATTAAGGCAGATCTTCTCGAGCCCCTCATACTGTATGTAGTAGGTCACCCCATGGATTTTGAATTGGGAAAGCAAGGGTTTGGTTAAGTCCACTTGCACACATACCCGAGCGTAGTCCAGCCGAGCCCCTGTAGCAGTTGCTTGGTCAACTCGCAATGGTTTCCCTATGCGGCCCCCGATCTTCATTACTGCCTCCTTGTGAAAGAAATGGATGGGTATGTCCAGCAGGCGTGCCCAGACCAAGGTAGATGATATCTCGTGGTTGTAGGGCCGGAAATGCTTGTCCCACATATGGACCGTGAGATAATTATCTCCCATCATCCATGGGCCACCCGTTAGGGCACGCTCGTAGTCAATCCCGCTCGTGAAACGAACCAAGTAGTATCCGTTCTTGGCTGACGAAACTTGAATGCCGCCCGCCTTTGCCCACAGGTCGTTCAGCCGCTTCGATATGCCCGTGTACGACACCGACCGACCTAGAGCCTTGACAACTAGCGATGAACGCCATTCCCTGCAGAATTGTCGCTCTTCTGCTGCCGAGAATTGAATACTAGGGCATAGTGGGTCGTCGTCTGCTTCGAAGCCTTCCTCCCTTCCATCTTCCCTTATACCAGCTGCTATGTCTTCGGAGTCGGAGTCTGCGATATACCAGGGCTCCAGCTTCTGCCTTTCTCCAAATAGGCGACGAGCAGCACCCCCCCTGATCCCCAAGCATGTTTCGGGGACTGTTGCTTTCGGTGGTAGTTACCCTTTCCCGTGTCTGGACTCGGATCAACATCGACAAAGTGCACGTCAGATTCGTTGAAACTCTGTGGCTCCGGTACGGTTGGTTTCACCCTTTTCTTGCTTTGTTGGACCTCCCTATCCCCTTTAGGGTTGGGAGACGAGGATGCAGTCGGTGGTCGGCATTGTCCCGTCATCGACTCTGCCGGAGGAGAGCCCCCGTGGACCCCTTCAGGTGGCGGCGAGGCCCCCGCCGTCATGCCGAAGTGAGAAAACCCTAGCAAATTGTCCGTGAACAAAATCGCCTCTCCGAGATTTACGGAGAAAAAAAACCCCGTTCTTTTCTTTATTATTTAATGCACGCCATTAAAACCAATTAATTTCACCAAATATGCAGTAACTTTGATGATGAGTAAATAGAAAGATGATTTTAAAATGTTTTTAGGAGTCAATCTAAATTTTCCTTTCATTTTCGTAAAAGGATTTAAGTTGATGAGTTAGTTGTGTACAATGTCGAAAAATAATATTTACATATTTTGAATTGTTGAAGTGCTTTAATAGTTTGGATTAGGGATGGCAACGGGTCATGAACAGAGCGGGTAGTACTAAACCCGTGCCCTGCCCCGTCCATAAATTCATGCCCCGCCCCGCCCCATGCCCCGCGACGGGTCGACACTTTTTGCCCCAAGCTTTGATCCGTGCGGGGCAGGTAATACCCGCCCTGCCCTGTCCTGAACGACATATTCTAAGTTGTAGTTTGGTAACAAATATTGCAAAGCTGTAACTAGTAACCACCATCATTCAAGCAAAAGAACTTCAATCATCAAGAAAGTGTTCTCTGGTTCATCCAAATGAAAAGTGCAAATGAAGTAATAAAGTTCCAGATTTGTAAAATAATATATGAAAGTGTTCTATGGTTCATCCATCAGAAAACTTCATCTCATTTCTCATAGGGTTCTTCAATCTCCAATTCTCCATGCAACAGCAACACTTGCAAGCCTTCCACTAGCCTTTAAAACATCAATCTCCCCTCTTTTAACTTTGAATAGCCTTTACTTGCAACTGTTTGTGTACATAAGCCATAGAAAAGGTTAGTATCATCACTGATATGATAGATCAACAGCAGCTCCAACAAAATCACTATGAATGTAAAAGAAACCATCCAGAACCACTACAAATATGCTTATATCAGTGGCAGCTCTGAGAGTCATATAAATGTAAAAAACCAACCAAACAGCAACACTATGTTGCAAATTGAAAAGGAAAATATTTTGGAATCAATACCTCAGGGTCATCCTCTGTCTCTCCGTCAGAATCTTGTTGTACTGTACCAAGTGAGTACTTCTCTCCAGTTACACCAGCTACATTCATATATAAACAGGTTAGAAAGACTCATAATTTTTGTGTATATGCAGAAAATATTTGGAATTAGGATAGTCATTACCTCGCAGCCAGCTTTGAGCACACATTAAGCCTTCTACAGTATCTGGTTCCAGCCTACTTCTATGAGAAGAAATCACCCTCCCACTAGTACTAAAAGCAGACTCTGAGGCCACAGTAGATACGGGAATAGCCAAAATGTCTCTTGCAACCTTATGCAGTATATGATATTTACTTCTGTTGGACTTCCACCAGCACAGAACATCGAAATCAGGACTGTTGGGTATAATTCCATCCTCCAAATAGGAATCCAACTCTGACCTAGTAGGCTTCCTTTTCCTTCTAGCAGCATACAAAGCAAACTTGCTGGTTGTTTCCCTCTCAATTGTAGCAGTTACTGAACAGTTCACTTCAACTGCATTGTCTACTTTTTCTTGCTCTCTTTCCTTCTCTTCATACTCTTCAATCAACTTACGACATATACTAAGAAGCTTCTCCTTCTGTGTCTTACTTTCCCCACCAAAAATCTCAGGAAAGTAGCAATCCATTACATCAGTTTTATACCTTGGATCAAGTATAGCGACTACCCCCATCAAAGCATGCATCTCAGACCAATACTTGTTAAACTTTTCTAACATATTTATGGCCATTGTTTCAATGGTTTCAATTCCACAAATACACCACTGATCCAAAGCAATCTTAATCTCACAAATAGCTTCAAAACATATGTTGGCAGTTGGATATTTAGTGCCAGAAAACAGTTCAGTAGCATCATGAAACTTCTTCAGCCTAGTACAAATCTCTTCTGTCAACTTCCAATCACATTCAGTAGGCAAGCATTTGTACTTTGGCTCCCTATTTCTTAACCGATTAAAAACTTCTTTATATCCCAAAGCAGTTTTCAGCATTAAATAGGTTGAATTCCATCTAGTTTCACAGTCAAGTATGAGTTTCTTACCACCTTGATTACGAATCAGACGTGCTGCCTCAAGCTGTTGGGTAGTCTCCTTAAACTTTTCCCATCTCTTTGGTGTTGCCAACCAGAAACGAACACTCTCCCTGATTCTATCTATGCCATCTCCAATAACCTTAAGACCTTCCTTTACAATGAGATTCAATATGTGTGCACAGCACCGCACATGAATCATACTTCCATTGTCCAAGAGAGACTGTAAAGGAAGCTTCTCCATCAGTTGACTCATCATTGCATCATTAGTCGAGCAATTATCAACCGTGACAGCTGATAATCTATGATCCAAGTTCCAGTCCATTAAACAGTCAAACAGATTTTCACAAAGGACTTCACTAGTGTGTGGGGAAGGCACATAAATGAACCTGTAAAATCACAAGTGCAGAACTTAATTCAAATTTTACTCTTATACATACGAAATACATCTTAATTCAAAGCAATCACAACTTAATTCATATAGTTACAGCTAACACATAAAAGAAGACAACTAAATTCACACTTATATAGGCTGATTCATAGAGGCTGATTAAGTATTGATGTAATATAACTTGCAGCAACTAACAAAATGTCAACATCTAACATATATATTGGCAACTCCCAGACATAGTGATTATAAATTAATTCAGTTTAATGATCACAAAATGTAATAAAAGAATGCAACCAAAAGTACCTGATAATTCGACTATGCAAAGTCCAAGTATTATCAATGTAATGTGCAGTCACTGCCATGAAACCCTTCTTCTGAGAAGATGTCCACATGTCTGTGGTTATTGCCACTCGGCCTTCATTCTTCCTCAAAAGCTGAATTGCACACTGTTTTTCAAGATGATAAATGCCAAGACAGTCTTTCTTTATAGTGTTTCTGCACACCATCTTGAAGCAAGGGTTCAGACTCATGCTGTAACTCCTAAAGCCTTCATGCTCTACAATTGAGAGAGGATACTCGTGCTTTATAATCGCCTTAGCCAATTCTTTTCGAGAATTTTCTTGACTGAAGTTGAACGGCGTCAGCTGGAATTTCTCCTTGTTCATATTGCCTTGCAGGAGTTGTTGTTTTATATCTCCCGGACGCTTCACTTTAGGACATCGATAGTAATGATTCTTCAGGTGAGTTGTTCCTTTTGACGGGTCTCCAACAAGATTCTTCTTACAATATTTGCACTCTGCTTTTGGCTTGCCATCCTTGGTTACCTTATTATAGTGTTGCCACCACTTGGAAAACACTTTACCAGATGTTGTACCCTTGCGTTTATCCTTCTCATCATCATTTGCAGTTGCAGGGGGGGTTTCCTTATCCACAGCTTCAGCAACAACATGCATAACATCATGTTGAGCCATATCTGGTTGAGGTTGGGAAGTTGTTGCCTCTAGATTCAAAATTGCAGAATCAGCTTGAGGCACCTCCTTATCCATGTTCTGCTACCCAATAACAAATTGCAAGATGGGATTCATTTAGTCATTATGTTGATGAATTAGAGAAATCTCACCCAAACATAATTAAACAAAGCCACAATCTAATTCAAAAAAGACTAACAGAGAAATAGGATATTGATATTACCTAACCAACTTCTTAATTCCAAATACGTTTTTTCTTGTAGTTCTTGTTGACCACCTTGCTGCTGGAGATATGTTGTCTTTTTGTACTTCCTTTGCTCTAAGGGAGAATGGGAGATGCAGCAAGGATAACCCTTCATCTGCTATTCACTGTTATACTTATATCAAGAGGAATTGGGGATGGGCAGATGGGTGATTGGGAATCGGGTGATTGGGAATTGGTGATGGAAGATGAATCGTAAAGTTAGAAAGGCTGGAAATGGGATAGTGGATTGGGTTTTTGCAGAGAGAAGTTTCTCGAGTGTGGGTAGTGTTGGGAATTGATGGCGGGTGGGCGGGTAGTGAATGGAAGAGGAAGCTGAATCGTATTCATCCCTTTTGTTTGGAGATTTGGACGGGGCAGAGCGGGCCGGGGCGGGTCGGAGCGGGCACAGAACAAGAATCCATATTTGCTCCATTATAATCACGGATCGGGTTAAGATCCGCCCCGTTCAAGCACAGGTCGGATTTTATCCGCTCCATTACAGGGCGGATCGGGGAAAATCCAACGGATCGGGTCTGATTTGCCATCCCTAGTTTGGATTCTCTTATTCTACCAAACAATTTGAATGTTTCAAATATTTGAATAATTTAAATTTGCTTATACTATCAAAACTCACGTATCTCACATACAATTAGATAATATTATTCATGTGATTGGCGGCTGAATCCGACCAACTGACCGGGCGTGTGACTAATTTATATATTTCACCTTTCCGTTCACTCGAAGTCTCAAATAAAAATCTCGGCCTTTTGGCTAAGATCAAGTGTAGCGAAGTCTCGAGTAAAAGTCCCAGACAATTCGTGAGTCTCCTTCCTTGTTCCCTTTTCCGAATCGGAGCGGTTTCTTCCACCGGCGATCAGAACCCAGCAAAAATTTTCTGCCACTGTCGCCCGCCGTGGGTCGCTAACCGGGAAGCGAGACCCTGACACCCGCCGCGTCTCCGTTAGCTCTTTTTCCTTCGGCACACTCCAGAGACCAGACGAGGTGGTTTCTCATAGAAAGTCACCGTCCCCCCTTCTTCATCCTCAGAATTTCCTTGTCACTAGCCGCGGTAAGATCCAAAATTTATTTTGCTGCTTTCTTTCTCTCTCTCTTTCTCTCAGTTCATTTGGGCATAACTCCTTTTACCTTGCTAATTCTGAAGATCACTGTCACGTAGCCATGCTCGAAGCTGTGATTTCGAATACCCTTCGAAAGCTTGGCTTGATCTGGTGGAATCTGGAACAAACTGTGGGCAGCCGCATCTTACACGGTATTCTGGGAGACCTCAAGCGTACATTGGAAACATTGCAAGTCTTGGCCCCTAATGGAGAGAAGGCAAGAGTGACAGATAGATTTCCTACGCTTTGGGTCGAAGACGTCAAAAGCTTATGCTACCTTGTGGACGACTTGTTGGACCAGTGGGAGATTGATGACATTAATGGTCGGCACCGCCAATCTTACCTACTGTCGAGGCTTTGCTTCGGCTGCCATGGTAGTAGGTACGTGATCTATGGTAAGTTGAAGGAGCTAAATGACAATCTGATCTTGCTCACCCAGGATGCAAAGTCGGCTGGCATTACTGCAGAGGTGGTGAATGAGCCATTTGATTCCTGTCGTCTCACCTCTTCTTTGTTTGACCCCGATAAGGTGGTGGGTAGAGAGATGGAGAAGAGAGCACTGGTGAACATGTTAGTCAAGCACACTCATCATGACAATCCCAGTGAAGCTGTTCATCAACCATGTCCTGGTATCATCTCCATCGTTGGGTATGTGGGCATTGGCAAAACTATGTTGGCCAAGCTAGTTTACAGTGATCCCGTGATAGCTCATCACTTTGAGCTTCGCATTTGGGTGTGTGTCTCGGAGAAGTTTGAAGAGATGTCTATAGCCAAATCAATTATTCAGCAAGTCCTCCCTGTAGATTCCAGGGGCGGGGGACTGGGCTCCTCTGGTATTCTGCCCGAGTTAGCAAGGAGAATTGCAGGAAAAAGGTTTCTTCTTGTTCTCGACGATGTGTGGGAAGAAGACCCTAATAAATGGAATTCTATCATTGCAGCACTCAAGCATGGGTCTCAGCAGAGCAGAGTCCTGGTGACAACACGCAACCAGATTGCTGCCCGTTCCTTAAACTCCAATCAGATATTCAGGTTGCCAGAGTTGCCTCCGCATGATTGTTTCATGCTCTTCTCTCGGTTTGCTTTTGCAAGATGGGGCAGTTTTGAAGGATGTGCCTATCAAGAACGTGATGTCAGGGCAGTTGAGAAAACATGCAGAGGCGTGCCTCTCATTGCAGAGACTTTAGGAGGGATAGTAAGCTGCCGAAGATCAGGGGATTCCTACATTGGTTTCTCATCTTTTGATCTTTGGGGACTAGAAGATATTCTAAACTTTTTGTGGCCAACTTATTATCATATCCCCCCTGCTCTGAAACTTTGTTTTGCATATTGTGCTGTCCTTCCGAGCGGCTTTCAAATTCCGGATGATAAACTGATGAAATTATGGATGGCGCAAGGTTATCTCGATCTGGAGTCGAGTGATGAAGATGCGGAAGTTGTGGGTGAAAGGTACATTCAAAATTTACTGATGAGATCGTTGCTTCGGGTGGTTGCAAAGGAGGGTGATCAGGGCGGTCATGTTAGTAAAGGCTGCAGAGAGCTTGAGATGCCTGAGGCGATTCATGATTTCGCCAAAGTTTGTGCAGCATCTGAATGTTGCAGCGTCCATGATCCTGATCATTATGATATTTCTCCACTGGTCAGTCATTTGGTGATTGACCCCTCTCAAGCGCTCCATCTATCAATTGTTGATTGGGCCCCGTGCCCTCAGGCTAGTGATTCCATCCAAAGATGTAAGCGCCTACGCAGCCTCCTAGTCCAATCCAAGAGGTCTTCAGGCGGCGGCGTGCTAGTTCGAAGATTACACAGTTTGTTCACTCAATTGACTCTTCTCAGATCGCTAGACCTGACCGATTGTACTTTCAAAAAGCTTCCAAGCTCGATCGGTAATTTGTTACTCTTGAGGCTTCTGATCTTGTCCAGCAACAAGGACTTAGAAGAGTTGCCTGAAGAGATATGTGAGCTCTCCAATTTGCTGACTTTTGAGGCTAACTGTTGTGAGAGTCTAAAAATGTTGCCTAAAGGAATAGGAAAGTGGGTCAGTTTGAGGCATTTGGGTTACTTTCTTGAGTCAAGGAAGGCTTATTTACCGAGAGGAATCAGGAAGTTAAGTTGTCTTCGAACATTGACGACGTTCAGTGTTGGCCATCATGATGAATCCGCTTCTTTGGCGGATTTAGGGAACTTGAACAAGTTGAGGGGAAACTTTTGCATCAATGGGTTAGGAGATGTCGCTGATGTAAGTGAGGCTCGTGAAGCCCAACTTCAGGAAAAGAAAGCAATCGTCGCATTGGAACTGAATTTTGAGAGAGAGGTAATAGAAGAAAACCAGGTAAACAATGATGAACTCCTAATTGAAGCTTTGCAACCGCAACTTGATCTGGTGGAGTTAACAGTCAAGGGATACAAGGGCCGTCAGATATTTCCTTCCTGGCTCGTCATGTTACATAGCTTGAGGAAGATTTCTCTGCTCTTATGTGATAATTGTGAGAGTTTACCGCCTCTAGGCAAGCTTCCTTGTCTTGAAGAACTTGACATTTGTTATATGCCTCGTGTGGCAACCGTCGGTCCCGAGTTCTTAGGGATGGAAGTTGACGGCCTCGCTGCAGAATCCTCATCAGCGGTAGCGTTCCCAATGTTGAAGCAGCTCACCATAATTAATATGTTAAATTGGACAGAATGGAGGGATTGGAGTGAAACTGCAGTTGTTTTCACTAAACTGCGCACATTGTCACTCGGGGATTGCCCCAATTTGAAGGCGCTGCCAGAGAAGCTATTGCGAAAAGCTTCTTTGGAAGAAGTTGAACTTCATATGTGTCCATTGCTGGAGAAACGTTATGGTGCTTACCTTCCCTAAAAGCCATCTTCCTTCCCAATTTCCATCTCCTTATCAAACCGTTTCCGAAATTTCCAGTCAATTCCTTGCATTTGTTTTTTTATTTTCCCCTTTTATCTTGCTTCTTCCCCTGTTAGAGAAGGGTAGGTAATATATAGCTCTAGCAAACAGTAGATATATAATGGCAGAAGAATTTTGTTTGTTATTCTCATTTGTTATGTTTAAGTACTTGTTTCATGTGGATTTATGGTGAATGAAGATGCAGCTTGCAGCAAGCTGATGATTTGAAGTTTCTGCATTGGTTTGATGCTTCTGCATGTATCTATTTGATGCATTTCTGATTATCTTTTTTGTATCAATCCCTGCATCTTTGATTTACTGTGTTTTATGTTGATTTCGTGTTTTTTATATATGTAGGTTTTAGCAAGCTACACAATGGAAACCGGTGGAGCTATAGGCAAAACATATCTGACCTTGGGAAGGTAGCTATTATGCAGTTTGTAGTGAATTTGCTTGTTGGTTATGAACCAATTCATGTATTCAAAATTTATTAAATTATGATATAATGATGTTACTGTGAAACTTGTGATGCAGCCTGCACAAATAGCAGTACTCGAGGTTCAGATTGGGTCTGAAAGGGAAACCAATGACCATGCTGATAATGGTAATTGAGGTACGATAATAGAAAGTGATTGTGTTTATGCAAAGATTAGTTTTCCTTTCTTTGAACGATTATAGCACAACGTACGTACTGTATTTTTCTCTTCTAGTTTGTTACTGTTTTAGTTGTTGTGTGTTACCTGTTAGTAGCTGTTTTTGTTTTACATAATCTTCTGTTAGTATTTGTTTGCGTTTAGATATTAGGGCCATTTAATTGTGTTTATTATTATACTGTTCTATACTTTGTTTGTGGTGGTAATGACTTACAAAAGTTCATTTGTTTATGGTTATGCAGCATGCAGCATCATGATTCATGATTTAGTGGTGGCAATGGTGTTCAAGTTCTTTTGGAGTATGGAAATTGGAAGGCAGAGGAATTGAAGTCTTAGATATTAAGTACTGATCTTTTGGAATTTTATGGTTGTATTTCAGTTAGTTTACCGATTTGAATTGAACTTCAGGGGTTGTTTGGATCAGGAAATTTAGGTAGGGATTTTGCCACAATCCTTGATCATGAGAGATTTTAATAAAATTATGCGTTTGTGAAGTATAGGAATTGTGGACTTAGGAATTTTGAAATTCCTAATTGGCAGGTTTTTAAAATAGCTGATTGCCCCCAGCTATTTCAAAATCCCTGATATATTTTTTATTTCTTCCAACCTTATCCTTCTGTTTTTCCAACCTATTCTCCACTACAACCTATTGACTCTCCCATTTGTTCAATCTTCTCCGACCACACCCACCTTCGGCGACAACTTCTTTTCCCTAAACCCAGCAATAACTTGTCTCCGGCATTGATTCTTCCTCCGGCGATCTCTGGATTGGGCGATTTCCAGTGAATGAGTTGAGCGGATCTCTTCGATTTCTTCTCCGATTTCTATGGATTTGCTACCCTTCCGCTAGGCTCGATAATCGACGAGGTTCAAGAGCACAGGACGTCGATTCTCCTTCTTCCTCCTCCGAACCAGTTCTTGCGACTACCGTCTTCTTCTAACCGGCGGCGACTCGAGCTTCTCCTTTTTCCGATTCCGAACTCCCACCGGCGAAGAGAGTAGGTGCGATGATTGGGCATTCTATGTATTGGCGATTTCTGGTAAATCGAGGCGATTCCGATAACGTCTTCTTCTTCTCAAACCCGGCGACGGTTGGGCGTTCTCCGGTAACGTCTTCTTCTCAAGCGGCCAGCGGGGACATGCAGTAGCCCAGAGGGACTCTTGCGACGGATTTGGCTGCTTCCCCCTTCGATTGGTGGCGGCGGATCTGACGCGGCGACGACGAGAATCCAAGAAAGAGAAGGAGATTGAGGATGCCTGTGGATGCTTGCTGATGGGAACTGCTATATGTCTCTGGTGGGGAGGCTTGCGACGGGAACGACGATGACCAAATCTGGTTCCTTTTCCGAATAGAGATGGAACAACACGATGAACAATGAAAGGGCAAATTAGAAATTTGACATTTCTTATTAAAAATCTATTTTTCTAAACAAACAAGAAATTTAATACAAATCCTTAATCACAAATACTGGGTTTTCAGTTGAGGGATTTGAGACTAAATCCTTCACAAATCCCCCAAATTAAATTCCTTAATCCAAACGACCCCCAGAGGATTTTTGGAGAGCGGGTTTTTCTTTTTGGAACTCTGGATTGTAGAATTTATTTTAGGGAAGGTTTTGGAATTTGTTGGTCAGTATATCACTAGACTTAATTTTCATATTAACCGGAAACATGGGGCAGGTCGGGGCAAACCCGCCCTGTCATGGCCTATATAATGAAGGCCCGTAGCAGGTCTTGGAGCGGGGCGGGTCAAAATCCAAAAGAGCACTGCCCGCCCTGTTCCGGACCCATTGTCATTCCTAGTGAAGGACAACAAACCACCATGTTCAACGAGAATGGCGTACACCACTACAAGTACTGTTCATTTTGTATATGTCAACTCCCCCAAATTGGCAAATTCCTATCCACTCGATTGAAAACTCAGCCAACTGACGATTTCATCAACCGCCCTCTTGACCGAAGAGCAAAAAAAGACGTGGCAGAAGCAAAGATAGGGTTCTAGAAGAACAATTGATCAAAACCGCCGTTGACTAAACAAGAGGAGAGCCTGATTTCTCTTGTGCTTGCGTTTCTCAGTTCAGGCTGCCGTTTTGAAGCTTAGCTGGCCAGCCATTTTTCAGCCGTTTAGTTTGAACGACAACAACAACTCCCAGCTATCAGTTAAAAAAGAATTACCGCCAGTATCGACAAATTAAGGACACAAAAAACTCGAAGATTTGAACGTTACTGTGAAACCCACCTTAAATCACGGCAAATTTTCACCGTATGCATCGAAAACAATGAAGAAAAGAACACAGAGAGGTGAAAAGGGTTAAAAAAAAAAACGTTCCCCGACTCTGCAACTCACGAGAATCACTCTAGACAGGAACAGGAGGAATCAAAGGTTTGAATTGACCTCCAGACAGACAACGTGAGAAAATATTCCGGCATGCAAGTTGGCTTTAGTGGGAGCCCCTACCCCAATTAATCAAGGTGCAGATGAATCTAAACCCAATTTGAGCTTCACTGTCAATTCAAGATAATAGATACATAGTCGCTGTTTGAATAATTCTTTCCCTTTCAATCAATGTCAAAACAGACACATACTGTTGTACTTCAAAGACATTCCTTTAACCAAACCCTAAAACCCGAATTCGAATAGTGCATTCCTCGCTGCTTCGAACATAGCTCGCGATCTCAACCATTAGAGACATAAAACAACCGCATGCGTGATATCATGGAGGCGCGATCCATCGATATCCAAAATCCGACACGGAACAGCTCAACAGAAGATAATTGATTGGACTGATTAAGGGAGCTGTGTGTAATTATTAGCCGACTTAACTTTGAACATTAGGGAAAATTCAGAATCAACATCCAAAAACATGATCGGAAAGTCCTACTTATCCATCAAAAGTTAAAAGTTTACAGAAAACCAAAACCTGCCCACAGAATGTACTCAAAAACAACCAAGTTAGCATTAAAGAAAAAGGGGGTGATGGGTCAAGCTTAGCTGATGCTTATCACTTATCAGAAGTTGGCAGGCGGCTGCCGCGGAGCACCCCAGAAGACTTCATGCGGCATTTGGCCATTCGGCAACAAATTGGGGGGCAAATTGTAAATTGGAGGCGGCGGGAAACCGACTGACCCATGCTGCTGTGGATGGTGGTGATGATGATCAGTAGCGCTACTCATCCCTTCCGGCGACTGCGACCCGCCCCCTGAATTCTCATTCCCTTCCCCTCCACTCCCGTTATTATTACTGTTTACATTCTGATCCCCTTGCTGATGATGCAATTGCAGGCCGTCCGGGCCTGCTGGGCCGGGCCCATGGCCCACCGCCACCTCCTGATCCTCAAGCGGCAGCCGCTCGTAAACCGCGTTGGCAAACGTCGCCGCAACGACCATAACTGGGCCGGCCGCCACCAGCGGGCCCACCACCCTTCCTCCAACGACCTGCCCTTGCCCGCCAGCGAGGTAAACGGTCAGCCCCGCCGCCCCGGGCGGCGACGGGGCGGGCAGAAACGAACCCGACAGGGACAGGAGCTCGAAATTCCCGTGGAGGGCGATTACCCCGCCTGGCGCCGCGGGCTGATGTAAGGTCACGTTGGAAACGACGCCGTTCCCGCTCAGAATCGACACCCCGCGGTGCCGCCGCTGCGCGAACCCGGCGACGCTCTCGGCGATGTCGCTGCCGGCGCCGATTTCAAGGATGTGGCTGCGGAGGGAGTTGGGGCTTTCCTTGGTGATGACTATCGGCGGCTTCGGCTTGTTCTTCGATCCCGCCGGCCTCCCCCTCGGCCTCCGAATGGACGTCGTCCCGCTGCCACCACCGCCGCCGCCGCTTCCTTCTCCTCCTCCGCCGTTGCCGTTGCCGCCTCCGGAATCTGGGTTTTCCCTGCTGCTGCTGACATCGGGTTCTTCTACCAGACCGTGAAGTTGTTGCTGTTGCGGGTCGGGTCTGCGGGTTGGAGCGGCGGATCCAAGGCGGTCCATGAGTCCCATGGCGGATTCCTGTGGCGCTGTCGCATTCCCAGCCCACCAACGGTTGTGATGATCAGCCATGTAAGCTTCAACTAATCAGTAATCTTTCCTTCCTTCGAGTACTGGATGGAGATGTGACTGAAATCTTTATATAATCTTGGTGGGTTTCTTGAGGATTGGGTAGCGAGAGACAGGAAAGGGGTTTTCGGCTATTGTTTGACCATTGGAGGGGTTTTGTTAATTAGCTGGAAGGAGGAGTGGGGAGTGATGGAGTTTGAATTGATCTCACATTTGGAATTGGAGATGGATACAAACAAGGATGGAGATGGGATGGATAGATAGATGTGCAGATGGACCAATCCGATAAAAACCTTATCTCCCAAACAAGGAATTTACCGCCAACTAAAATGACCAAAACAGAAACAGAGCAAAATTTACTTCCCTGCTCCTGATCGATCGATCTTGCTTTGCCAGTATATGATGATGCTATACAATGCCCTAACGAAGAAACCCTAGCTAGCTTAGCTTAGCTTGGAGCCCATCAATGGATCGCTAGCTACAGTTTTGGTTTTTGTTTGTTTCCTCTTTATGCGGTCAGATCCAGAGGAAGGGAGAGAGGAAAAAGATGAAAGGGAAGGGAAGAGGGGCAAAAGAGAAAAGAGAGAAAACCCCACCACCCCCCAGTAGTGCTTTGTCTTGTTCCTAATTGATCAGAGATCTGACCTAAAAAACCACACCAACCCAGCACCAGCTGCTGCACCGCACCTTCCTTCTGATACACACAGCAGAGGGGAAGCGTTGCAGCAAAGAAAGGAAGCGTAGGGTAGCCTGCGGCGAGGTCAATTAGTACGGCTGGAAGGAAGGCAAAGCGCAGAACTTGAGATTGAGAGATCAGAGCCTCTGCAACAACAAAAAAATTCAGTATGGAAAGAGGTGTACTTTGGGTGTCATCATGGGACAAGAATGGGTTTTGCTTTTCTTTTCCTTTTCGGTAACGACAGCGAGAGAGAAGAAGAAGAAGAAGTAGAAAAGGGAGAGGAAGCTTTTTTTTTTTCTTTTTTCTTTTTCTCTTCTTGCTTGGGAAAGAGAGAGCGGTGGTGGCGGTTGGAAATGTTACAGAGACGGTGGTGGTGGTGGTAATGATGATGAGGGCGGCAACTGAGCAGAGAGGGAGGGAGGAAGGAGGTTGGATCCGTTCAAAGTTTCCCTTCTCTTTCTGTCTCTCTTTCTCTATCTTAGGCTGAGCTTTATGTTCAAGTTTCAAGCCCTTGAGGGGTGAGCCGAGAGCAGGCTGAAGGGGCAGGCAGGGAGAGAGAAAAGAGGAGAGAGAGAGAGAGAGAGAGCGGCTGTTCTCTGTTGTGTAGCTCGCTCGCTCGCCAACTAACATCTCTACTACCAAAAACCAGCAGGGAGCAGCAGCAGCACCCATCACGCCGTGCTTTTAAATGGTTTGACCACTGACCAGCTTACGCCCATACTACCATTTACCCCGAAATGGCGAAATCTCGTCACTACGCTCGAAGGTTTCTCCTGTATGTTCTTTTCTGGACGTATGAGCGTGCGGTGCGAGACACAGACATATCCAAATTTGTTGAATTGTCCATCAAAACTTTACTCCCATTATTTTATAGTACAATTCAGGGTGGGGTTTGGATTTCGGACGATGTAATTGTAATTTGAATTTTTTGATCATATATATTATATTATAGATGAATTTGCTGTATGGTAGATTACATATCGACATTATATTTTCAAAAATGAATATCACAAGTTAATGAAAAATGTCATTTTGTTTCGGTTCTCTTCCATGCAAATATGTGTTTATTAAAATATAAAATTAGAAAGGAAAGAAATAAAAAAAATACCAAGTCAGAGCAACTCAACTTGCATAATAACGTCATAAAGATTAACATAAATATCATATTGAGACACAATCGTCTCTACTTCGTGACGAGTCTGATTTATGAATGAGGGCATAGGTGAGATTCACAAGATTAGAGTTGAGACCTCGACCTCGTTAAGGAGTTGGGAGAATGATGAAGTGAGTTGCGAACACAAATCGAGAAGCAAGCTGAGTCCATGGTTTTGTCTAATAAACCACGATTTGGACAAACGAGATCAAGAGATAAATACATCATATGGTATGGAGTAAACTAGACCATTCTTAATGATTTATGATCCAAACCAAACTGAGTGGCTCAGTTTGTTCCACTATTTTTTAAAGGGAATTGATAAAGGTCGTCCTTAAAATTACTATTGATCGTCCTAAAAAATAACAAAGTTACACTTTTAACCTTTTGGCATTTTTAGCAAACAAACATCACTTTAACTAAAAAAAATGAAAAACACTCAATTTCCCACACTCTCGAATTCATCGTTGACATTCTCGAGTCGTAGTCGTTGAGAATACGTCCGAATCATGAGTAGCGACTCCGACGAGGTAAAAATCTGATTTTTTTTCGAAAAAAATTCCAAAACCCCTCAACCGAAGCCAATTTTCGGTTGTACCATGGCTCAACCTAAGGCAATTTTCGGTTGTACCATGGACCAACCGAAAATTGGCTTCGGTTGAGCCATGGTGCAACCGAAGGTGATTTTTGGTTGAGCCATGGTGCAACCGAAGGTGATTTTCGGTTGGTCCATGGTACAACCAAAAATTGCCTTAGGTTGAGCCATGGTACAACCGAAAATTGGCTTCGGAGGGGTTTTGGGTTTTTTTGGATTTTGTTTGGTTTATATCAATAATTTTATATTTTTTTACTACAATTTATGATTCGATTCATAAGATAATTTGTTGAATTTTGGTTTATATATATTTTTAGATTTATGGAAGGGGGAGGAGTTGTTTGTTTTGTGTTTGATTTTGAAATTCAAAATGGGCAATTTGGTAAATTACATATTAAGTTAGGACGATGGTTAGTAATTTTTAGGACGACCTTTAACCATCCAGTTTTTTAAATTATATGATCTATTTTGCATGGCAGAACAGTCAATCATTTGATTAAGGATCTGTTTCCGAACTATTTTTGATGTCATATACATTCATTGAAGGCTCAAATTTGAGTTATCTTGGGTTCTAATAAGTGGCAAAGAGAGGTGGAGAGACAAAAAATCGTACCACAAAATCCTTTAAATATATAGGGTTTAGTATAACTTTCAAGTTTAGGACTCCATATTTTTGTTGATACTAGTTCACCTAAGGACCACAATCAATTCAAAGTTCATTAGATACAAAAGTTATTATTTTATGGGTTAATCGCATTTTATACCCTTCTACTTTGACAAATTAACAAACGTACCCCTCTACTAATTTTTTGCACAAACGTACGCCTCTAGTATTAAATCGTAACAAGTTTACCCTTCCATTTAATTTTCCGTTAAGTGGACGTTAAATAGGCTGGGAAATGACCCAATTACCCCTTCTTTACCCTAATTTTAATTTTAATTATTTTATTATTTATGTCAAAGAGAAAAAAAATCAATTAATTAAAAAAAAAACAAAAGTACGAATCCCCTTCCCCTGCACACCCGAGAACTTTGTCTTCCTCTCTACTCCCTCGCGTCATTGAACCAGAGAAGTCCGGCCTCAATGCCGGCAGCTTACCATCAATGCCGGCGACTTGCCATCGACGCCGACGGCTTGTCGCGATGCCGCCAACTTGCAGCCTTCGGCAGGCGCGATCGTCCTATTCCCCACGCCAAGACACAGCAGCGGCTCTCGATTGAGGAGGTATCCCGCGAACCGTCTCGCAAAATTGCCATCGATGCCGGCTGCAGCAGACTTCGGCGGTGGCGAGACGCCCAGCTTTCGGATCGATCCGCGTCCTTCCGTCGATCGATCCTCTTCCTCGAAGTATTTCCTGCACCCGATTCTTGCCCCTCTTTCGATTTTCTGTAAATAGAAGGGTAAGCTGGCGTCGATGGGAGAAGCCGAGCAAAGGTGTTTGAACGTCGCAGCCGAGTAGATGGATTGATGGGGAAGTTGGCGGTAGAACGTCGCAGGAGAAGCCAGGAAGCTGGCGGTAGCTTTGAAAGGCCGGGGAAGCTAGCACCCTGATGTGTGATCGGAGAAACAGATGGCCTCGGCACGTCGTGGGGATTCGAGAAGACGGTCGTTGGGTCTCGCCTATCGGTTCTCTCTACTCCAGCCGCCGACGAGGAGATGCTGGGAGTAGGCGCCGCCGAGGAGTCGAGGCACTGATCGCCAAGGAAGACTTCAGGGAGACGGACAGTCTCTGGCAAATTGCTTCTCAATTAGTTTAGGGATTTGAATTTTTAATTAATTGATTTTGGATTGAATAAAATAATTAAACGAAATTAGTAGTGTTTAGGGGTAAAAAGGGGTATTCTGGTAATTTCCCAACTCATTTAACGGTCACTTAACAGAAATTAGATGGAAGGGTAAACTTGTTACGATTTAATATTGAAGGGGTACGTTTGTGCAAAAAATTAGTAAAGGGGTACGTTTGTTAATTTGTCAAAGTAAAGGAGTACAAAATGCTATTAACCCTTATTTTATTTAATTTCAAATAAAAGTCCATCTGCATCCCAGATCACTGCACCTAGCTAGCCTCACTCCTATAGAGCCTAAGAGGTCACTGCTTTTCCAGGCGGTGAGGTGGACGATTCCTTACGGTCACGGAAGCTTCAAATGGGCATCTTTGCATGAATCAATACTAACTCGTCAGTTAGCTGACCTTCAATTTTGAAGGTGAGAGCAGAAGAACCAAGTCTACTCAAAGTCTTATTAGGCAACTGGTTCCAATTCCATCTTCCAAAAGGAAAATAGCGAGCAACAATTAACTGGACTGTGTTGACAATGGAAGCCCAAACAAGTGTCACTAAACAAACCGTTGGGCGGACTTGGGCCAATTCATAATTCTTTTTATCATAGGCCGATCCGTCTTACTTTTTTCACGGGCCCAAATTTTTTTTCTATAGCATTATCCGGTCTAGAACTAAGTTGATTGCTTTGCAAGTTGCAACTAGTGTTGAAGCTCATCGAAAAGGAGGCATCAGCCATCCATCGCCAGTCGCCACCATAAAAACAGCTGCAAATTTTCCCCCTTAATAAGCTGAGGTTTGACCATAAGCTTTGGGTGTAGATACTAGCTAGTTCATGTTAGGAACGTAACAACAACAATGAACGGGGTTACCGAACCTGGAGTTGAGTCACGGACTAGGTCGCTTCCTTTAAGACGTTCGCGGAACTACCCTCGATGCGCACGACAGACTCTCAACCGGTCGTCTCCAGGATACAACAGCTCCTCTCGTATACTCGGCGGTTTTGTGCGAAAATCGGAGCTTTATGAACACTTTCTCTATTTGTGTTTATGCTCGTATTGTGGCGTGTTTAGAGGGTCTGGGGAGGCGACAATTTATAGTAGCTGAACCACTAAGAATATAGCCTCTTACTTGGGGAATAAGTTGGATTTTTTTTTTTTTTGGTGATAACAGGGCGCAAAAGGGCGCCCTAACCTTTATTCCGTACGAATCAAGCGGGGAGTTTGAATCCCCAAAGTATCATAGTACAACCAGTAGGCCAGAGCACTGCTCGGGCTCGTAACAATGTGGTATCCAATCGGAACCGAATGCCCCAAAGATGCTAGATGATCCGCTACATAGTTAGCTTCACGGTAGACATGCTCGATCCTAACGGTCCATGGCCTTTCCAGCCACCTTCGAACTTCAGCCACCCTCGTATAATGTGGGTGGTTCGGTGATGCCGTCTCTATCAGGGACTTGGCTGTCGCTGAGTCAGTCTGCAGAACAACCTTCCTGGCCCCTTCCTCCCAAGCAAGCTTCAACCCATACACAATTCCAGTTAGCTCTGCACAGGTTATGGAACCCCCTCCAAGGTTCGCCGTGAATGCTCTGATGAAACGACCATCGTCTCCCCGCACGATGCCGCCGCAAGCTGTGCTTCCAGGGAAGGAGTTAACTGAGCCATCAGTGTTTACACAGACCCAGTTCGGCGCCGGTGGTTGCCAGCCAACGTCATGCCTCACTCGGAGTCCCCCATCTCCGAAGACTTCCCTTTCCTTCTCAAAAGCTTTGAGGAGCTGCTCTTTAAGTTGTTTTGCTTGGGGCTGAATCTGTGTATGAGTTTTCAGCTCGCTCCGGAAGACAAGGCCATTCCGATTCTTCCACAGTAACCAGCAGACACCTGCAAACAGAGTACTGTCAATAATTTGACTTCTCCCTGAAAGATAGAAATGCGACCAACGCTGTATATCGGGTTCGAAGAAGCGGCTGTCCGGCTCGTCTCCTAGCATGTCCGCCCAGGTCGCACGTGCAAATGGACAATCTCGGACGATGTGGATCGTTGTCTCTAGGTCCGCGCCACAGATTTTGCAGCCCGTCTCCGTCGTCAGGTGCCGGCGTCCTCGTTCTGCATTGGTGAAGAGGCGATCGTGATTCATCAGCCAAAGGAAGGAGCGCACCCGCTGCATTGTTGGTGTCTTCCAGATGGTTCTCCACACCGGCTGGGTCTGGGTCGTGCTCGCCGCTGGGTTCGTCAATTCGTACGCCGTCCGTAGGGTGAAGTCCCCCCGTTCTGACCATCTCCAAACTCGTACATCATCCGCTTCCTCCGCCGGGACTGGGTGAGCTCCAACCTGCAAAACAAGAGCTGGGGGTAAATACTGTTTTAAGTAATCAAGATTCCATTCGCCGTTCAGAACAAACTCGATCACTGGCATGTTACACACTTCTGGCCCAAGACCAACCGCATGATCCCGGAGAACGACGTCGTCATTTAACCATCTATCACTCCAAAATCGTGCCACTCTGCCATTCCGAACGTTCCAAGTCGTTGCCCCCTCGATCAGGTGGGCTACGCGCATCACCCCGCGCCAGAGGTTGGACATCCTCCCCGTACTGCGGAATACCCATCCCCCTTTCGTAAGCTTCCCGTACTTTCCTGCTAGGACCCTTACCCATAGATCGTTTGGTTTCGTCAGCATTCTCCATGCGATCTTCAGCATATAAGCTTCATTAGTTCTTCTAGAGTCTCGCATCCCTAGGCCGCCCTCCGCTTTGGGCCGACATATGGTCTCCCAGTCGATCAGATGCACTTTTCTCCCCTGATCAGTGCTGCCCCAGATGAATGCCCGGATTTTTTTGTCAATATAGTCGCAGACACTGGCTGGGAGCAAAGTTGTCTGCATCATGTATGCCGGAAGGGAGGAGATCACTGATTGCGCCAAGGTGACACGCCCAGCTAGTGAGAGAGAGGCAGCCTTCCACCCCGCTAAGCGTCTATCAATCCTGTCAATGAGATCCGTGAAAGTAGCTTTTGACACTCTATCGTGGATCACAGGAACCCCCAAGTAGCGTCCCAGATTATTCGTTTCCGGTATCCCAAGTTCTTGGCTGAGTTGCTGCCTCTGCGAGTTGATCACATTAGCCGAGAAATAAATTCTCGACTTTGGCTTACTGATTTGTTGCCCCGATGATGCCCCAAACCTCTCGAAGCAGGCATTGATCTCCTAAGCTTGGCCGACTGATGCTTCCCCGAAAATGATCAGGTCATCAGCGAAAAAGCTATGGGAAAGCGCCGGACCAGTGCTCGAGAGCTGAATAGGCCGCCATCTACCCGATCGGACCGAGGCATCGATAATATGCCCTAGTCTCTCCATGCACAAGGTGAAGAGGTATGGAGAGAGCGGGCATCCCTGACGTAGCCCTCTCGACGGTTGGAAGCTCGCAGTGAGGCCCCCGTTCCATTGGATCTGCATAGACGCCGAGGAGATAAATGCCATGGTGATATCCACAAATTTAGCTGGAGCACCTGTTGCTTCAAGAGTATCCCGAACGAACCCCCATCTGATACGATCATAGGCTTTAGCGAGGTCTATTTTCAAGACCATCCAACCTCGCTTCCCCTTTTTCGCGCGCATTGAATGCACCACCTCCTGCAGGATACAAATATTATCTGTGATATGACGACCTGGGACAAAGCTGGTCTGTGTCTCGTGCACGAGAGTGGGCATCAGATTCTTCAACCGTTCGGCCAGGCATTTCGTCAATGCTTTGTATGCCACGTTACACAAGCTGATGGGCCGGAACTGCTCGATCGACGTTGGTTGCATGGTCTTCGGAATGAGCACTAGGATTGTTGAATTCACTTCCTTGATCTTCCCAGGGTTAGCCCAGCAATCGAGGATGAACTGAACGAGAGAAGGTCCCACAGTTTCCCAGCACTTTTGGAAGAAAATGGGATTCAGGCCATCTTTCCCGGGGGCTTTCAGGGCCCCCATAGCTCGAATCGCTCTCTTGACTTCCTCCGTATCCGGGTCCCTAGCTACCGCTGTCCAGGGTGATCCATGAATAGATGGGAACTCGGCCTGCAATTCTGCCAAGTCGCCGCCTTCATCAGTGTACAGGGTGCTGAAATATTCGCGCGCTAGCTCCATAAGCGCGTCCGGTTCGTCAATCCATTGTCCTTCCCCGTTCTTCAGCATCAGGATGCGATTCCGTTTCCGGCGCCTCACTGTTCTTGCATGGAAATAGGCTGTGTTCTTATCCCCCGACGCTAGCCACTCAAGTCGAGATTTCTGATACCACAGAAGCTCTTCCTGGAATAGAACGAGCTCGAGCTCCTCTTGGGTCTGAATGAGTTGCTCGGCTGCCCCATTTCCTCCCCCAGCGTTCTCAAGATTTTCAATCCTCCTGAGCAAGTGCTCCTTCTTCCGCAGGATATGGCCAAACACTCTTCTATTCCACTCAACAGCATCCCGCGCAAAGGCAGCTGCTGATTCAGTAAAGGAACTTCCCTTGGCCCAGGCAGCATCCGCCATCGGTCGAAATTCGTTGTGCGTCAACCACGCGGCCAAAAACCGGAAGGGCTTCGCACCTCCTGGCGCAGCTTCGTTATGCATTGATACAAAAAGTGGCCGGTGGTCAGATTTCTTCATTCTGGGCACATGGCGAACCGATGTTTCAGGGAAGGCCTCCAACCAAGAGTTATTCGCCATGCCTCGGTCGAGTCTTTCTCGCAAGCCTGTTCTGAACCAGGTATAGGCCGGGCCATTGAACCCCAAGTCATTCAGCCCAGTGTCCTGGACCACATTCTGGAAATCTCGAATCCTCGATGAGTCAAACGGTGCCCCGCCGAGCTTCTCACTGGGACTGATAATAGAATTGAAGTCGCCGACGAGCAGCCATGGGAACTCCATATCCTCGTCGATTCTTCGGATTTCCGCCCACAACTCTCGACGCTGCATTTCCGCTGGGCTCCCATAGATTGCGGAAAGATACCAGCCCGGACCATGGCCATTCGTGTCTTGCACCTGCACATGAAGGCATTGAGGATGAGCATTAGTCCTAGTAATGATAAAATCGCAGGCATTCCAGAGCACCCAAATGCCCCCCGAGAACCCGCTAGCATCAACCACAAGTTCACTATCGAAACCCATATCTCTAATGACTTCAAGCGCCCGGTCCCCACTAATCCGAGGCTCTACAATAATTACAATACGAGGTCTAAACTTTCTACGATACTCTCTAAAAACACGTAGGAAATTCCTACTACCCGCTCCCCTACAGTTCCACGCTAGAATTTTACAATCCATAAAAACTAGAGAAGAAAGGGACTCCCTGAGGTTATCTCGTGGTTCGGGTGTCCCCGTATCCACTCGGTCTTGCCTGGCTCGCATCTGCTTCGCCTGGGTTCTCTTTGTTTATCGGTTGCCGTTGCTGGGCTAATTTATCGGGTGGTTCCCCACTAAGAAAATGGTCCACCACCTGCTCATGCACCTTTGTCTGTAGACTTTTTGGAACACTCGGGATAGTATGCTCCACGTTCCTGCCCGACTCCTTCACCATCCCCGTTGCTTTCATTACTGTTTTCTCACCTATAGCAGGGCCCTTTGTTGCAGTCCTGACTCTGTCGAGTGGCTTCTCCTTCACTGGGACTTCAAGGTTCGTACCCCTACTGGATACTTGCTGGGTCTCTCTGCTTGGTTCCTTGTTAGCCCTACCTGCCCCCTTCCCAAGATGTTTCTGACCAGGTACAGGTGCGTCCATGGTCTCTACTGGCTGTGACTGTTGTGGCTCAGGGGGTTCTTCCACGACAAGCGCCTCGAAACGGGAGCCGCCAGGCTTCAATTTCTCAACTGAACTTGTTGCGACGTTTTCATTTCGCACCCCTCCTCCTTGGTCCTTCTTCCCCGCCCGTGGCTTTCTCTTCGCGATCATCCATTCGCCGTATGTTTTCTCCGGTTGCTTTTCCTGGTTTTCCCCCGTCTTACCCCCTTCCTCCGCATCCATAGGTTCATGCGTCTTAGTACAGGTACACGTCCCTCTCTCGGAGTACGTACCGCAGCTAAGACAAATTCTATCCAGCCCCTCATACTGGACAAAATACTTCTTACCATTGATTGAAAACTTTGAGAGCAGCGGTTTGGTTAAATCGACCTGGACACACACTCGAGCATAGTCGCTTCGCGCCACCGTCCGAGTTGCTTCATCAATTCGAATTGGAATACCAATTCAGCGCCCGATCTTCATAACTGCTTCCTGGTGGAAGTATTGAATGGGAATCTCAAGAAGCCGAGCCCAGACCACTGTTGAGGCCACCTCATGATTGTAAGGATCGAAGTCCTTATCCCACATATGCACTGTCAGGTAATTCGGTCCTATCATCCATGGTCCATTCATGACCGCTCTATCATAGTCCAACCCATTCGTAAACCGGACTAGGAAGTAGCCGTTTTTCAAGGACGTAACCTGGATACCTCCTGACTTTGCCCAGATCGCATTGAGCCGAAGTGAAACCGCTGTATAAGATACAGCTCGGCCAAGAGCTCCGACCACCAATGCTGAACGTAGGTTTCTACAGTAGAGGCGTTCCTCAGCTGGAGAGAAGTATATTGGCGGGCACTTCGGGTCGTCAGCTTCTTCAAACCCCATGTCTCGCCCATCCTCCCGCATAGCTGCCGCCGTGTCCTCGGAGTCTGACTCAGCAGTATACCATTCATTCAGTTTCGTCTCTGCACCAAACAGCCTGCGCGCTGCTCCTTTGCTCTGGTTCCAGGCGTTCGGAGGAGGGCTCTGGGGTATCGTCCGACTTTCCTCCTCCGTTGACATGACCTCATCCGTCTCCGCTTGCACGTTGGTTATCGGCGTCGTTTGCTTGGCTTTCTTTTTCGTGTGTTGTGCTTCTCGATCCCCTTTCGGGTTCGGTGATGAAGATTCCGTTGGCGGCCGTCGGTTGCCGGCCAGGAAGTCAGGTTGGTGGAGAGGGTTCAGTTCCCCTCCCCCTGTCGGCGGCACGTTGACCGCCGACATGCAGCAACCCTAGGGCTGTGTCCGGTCGCCTGAGAGTCGCAGCGGATTACCTCCGGGATTTTCGGAGCAGAAACCCTAATTCACACAATAAGTTGGATTTTAATTAGGAAGATAATTACTTCCTTAATTAAAACCCGTCCGTAAGATAATTCATTCGGGATTATCCTTCGAATATTCCTTTTAATCGATTATCCTCTTCCAACTTGTATTTATCAAGGATAAAGAATAACCGATTAATAATTAATTTCGTTCGGAATTTCTCCAAAAAAAAAATATATAGTCTCAAGTGAACCGACTGACCGGCCGGCCGGTTGGCGCGCGTATGTGGTGGTCCGTTAGGTCCTCCCTCTCCCACAAAAATGGGTCACCTCAAGGGGCATGCCTTTAGCAGAGAGGCTCCTATCTTTATACACATTTCACCAAAATAAAACTATCAATGTGATAGTTTTTCCACCTTGAAACTTTATAGCTTTCAAAACTATTCATTATTCATTTCCAACAGTTCATAACCTCACAAATAAAATACCTTATTCAACATTACAACCCACTATTCTCTCTCATCTCCATGACTCCATCCCTTCCAACTCAATCCAGATCACCACCTACAGCTCTGCCGTTCCATCTTGTAACATGTGCGCATATATGCAGATTGTGACCATATGGGGATGCCTAAGATTTCAGGGGAAGAAACTGGGTGAGAATAAGGGGTGAACAAACGCACCCGCAAACCGACCCACCCGTCCAATTCGACCCAACCCACCCGTATTTATCGCTAAAATGAAGATTTTGGGTTGGGTGATGGTTTTCTTTTGTACAACCCGCCTCTTTTGGGTTGGGTTTGGATTTTGGATTACACAACCCGTAGAACCCGACCCAACCCGTGTTCCAACTATTAGTATGAGTTCGTATCTAAAAAATATTTATGTCGTATATAGCCATACTTATGTGAAAATTAAGATATTTCGCCATGTTTTTCTATCATGGTCTCCCTAATCTAATGCATTCTTCAACTTAAAGTTTAGACATAAATTGAATATAATTATGATTCACGTAATCCTTTTTCTTGTGTACAATTTTAATAGATAACATATTATGGATGCATTTGTTTATAACCTTTTTAGCCTATTTCAACAAATATCGTGAAAAAAACTAGACATATGTTGAAGTAAATCACATTTTATTAAAACTCAAACAACATTTGTGAATTTGGTACCTCTCACCTCGGTTTATTTGTTTGAAATTTTAATTAGTTATAAAATATTTTTATGGTGTATAATAATTATATATTTTATGTTGGGTTGGATTTTTATTTAAAAATATCGCCAACCCGACCCAACCCAATTAGAAACAAACCGTAGGGTTTAAATTTTTTTGGGTGGGTTTGGGTTTGATAATTCCCAAACCGTAATGCATGAGTCGAGTGATTAAAATACTTAAACCCGAACCAACCGACCCATGTACACCTCTAAGAATAACTACTGTTGCAACATCCCCAGATTCCTGGCAAACAATCGGGTTGCTATAGTTCTACACAAATTTGCACTTTTTATTAACATTCATCTATATATATTCACCTGGAATAACTTAAAATGCCCCCCTCTAATCTACTCTACAGTACTAACAATTTCCCTATCCCCACACTTCCTAATCCTTATCTGCAGAGTCCCGCCCCTCATTCTCCCACCGCCATTCACAAACTCACTACATTGCCTCCGTGGCGCCTGCAATCCAGAAACCGAATCAATTAACCTCTTAGGAATCACATGTTGATACAACATATTGATTAACCTGTACAGAGAGCTCACCTTGGACCAATAATCAGTCTCCATTCTGACAGACGAGACGAAGACCCTACGCACAGACATGGCACGATCATAGTCGTGCCTCCTACACGTCACAGCCGGATCCAACCTCCTGTAAACCGTCAATGTACCCCATGTCCCAATATTCTGCACCTTGACGAACATAAACACGATTGGGATGGAGCAAGGGTCGGACCCCTTGAGGGGCCTCGTGTTGAACGTGAACGGGCCCTCGCTGAACGTCCTCCACGTCCTGAACGTCTGCAGCGGGACCTGCAGGTCATGGACCGCGACCAGGGTCGGGTAGAGCTGCACAGTATAGCCCCACGAGATGGAGACGGACCAGTTGAGGGTGTGGTCGTAAGCGTAGGACGACTGCAGGATCCTGGGCGGGTCGGCCCTGTAGGCGCCGTAGAGGGTTCTAAGCGAGGTAAGGTGGTCCTGACCGGGGAACAGTGGGTTCATGGCGCCGAGGTGGTGCAGGGAGATCAATGGCGCCATTGGGTGCGCTGCCAGTAGCCCGTACGCGCTTCCCCTGATATCCATCTGTTCAAAGGATAGTTTCGTTAGACAATGGGAGATCATCAGTGAAGGAAACGGTCGAGTAGACGTTTGTAGCCAGCGCTGAGACTGTAATCACTCTCAGGATTCACAAGACGCCAACTAACTCTTAGGTTAAGACTTAAAAGAGTCATTTTGAGCCGGAAATTGGAATCTTATATTATGGTTGTTCAAAAGTTATTTCTTGCCACATAAACATTTGAAGAACTCACAAGTTGTCAAGGTGGACAATTTTTTTTGAAACACAAAATTTAGTTATTATTAATTAATTAATTAATTACTATATATTATGGTTGTTCAAAAGTTACTTCTTGTCACATAAACATTTGAAGAACTCACAAGTTGCCAAGGTGGACAATTTTTTTGGAAACAAAAAAATTTAGTTAATGACATACTTTTGGAGCCAGCTCTCTCTTCTTTAAATATTTTTTTCTTTCAATCAATAATTCCTTTTTTCTTTTATATTATATATGCAATAATAGACTAATTTTTTTAAAGTGAAATCTATCGCATTTTTTTAAACCGTAAACATATTATTACATCTTTAAGTCAAATTTCTACTCATTTATACTAGAACTTATAAGTTATATTTTAATGAAAAATTAGAAAAATACACACATAAGTAATAATATTTCATTCGATCAAACAAATATAATTATGGAAAGAGAGAAAAAAGTTGTTTGACGATCAATCGACTTTAATAAATGAGCTATATTATTTTATATTTTTTACTATAAAACATTCTCTTATTTCTAGTGTATATGTCTATCAAATAAAGCCAATATTATATAACAAAAGGTTTGGATAGAATTTTGACGATATACAAGTATCATATAACAAAAGGTCTGGATAGAGAAGTGTTTGTAGACGATGTACGGTAAACATTATGTTTCATCAACCACTGACCTAGGCATTGATCAAAGAAAAGCTGGAAATTTTCGTTTAATAGTCGAATGTATTGGTAAAAAAATATAAATTCGAGGATTAATACAATAACTAAACATATGGTTGTTGGTTGAGATATTTATACTAAAACCATTTATAGTTACAAAAGTCTAAATCAAGTTATTGGGTTAATAATGAAGAATTTTTAATAAGGTTGAGTTCAACAAGGCAATTGCAAGGAGTCGTTTGGTTGTATGGTTGTGAGCCTGTGAGTTCATACCGGATTTTGATAATAACAAAAAATTCTGATATCAAAGTGTCAAAACATAAATATTTTAGTTTGTAACAATAAGTAATTTATATTTAGATATTAATAATAGATGTGTCAACAATACATCCATGAATCTATATGTATGCGAAATGTCATAATTGTTGTATGAATTTTAAAAAAGCTTTAATAAAATCAACTTTTAAAAATTTTATAAATTAATTATTCAAACGATAGGTTGTTTTAAATGCACCTAAAATACTTATGCATTGTAGACACGGTTTATCAGTTACTAAGATAAAGTTTTAAAATTTTTGTTCCAGAACAAACACCAAAGATAAAGGAAAAAAATGCACATTAAAAAGTTGGAAAATTATACACTAAATGACCATATCTAGACAGGAACCCTTAATAGTGTGTGTGAGTGTATTAGGTTGATATTCTAAACCAACATGTACACAACAATCATGGGTTGAGGGTTAGTCCAAACTTCAAGAATTAGTGATTGATACATATTGTATAAGATACTAAATTTGAGTGTCTTGGTAGACAAATTTTGATATAAGATCCTCGACCGAGATTTCATGAACAATCACATGAAAATGAGTCATGATTAGAGAATATGATCATCGTAAGGGATACGATATGTGCCAATTTTCATTTCTGATAGATAAAATTTATCCACTAATTAAGTATCTTTATCCAATAATGTGAACTTTCAATAATTGGTTCAGAGATTGTCTTAACTCAAGAATCATGAATTGTTAATTGTTTTATAATATAATAAATCTGAGTGTCTTGGCTGAAAAATCTTGATATGTTATCCTAAATGGCTGTGATAAACCTTCACGACATGATTTGTGATTAGAGAATAATAGCATCATAGGTGAGTCATGAGTGTGTTGAGTATTGAGAATTTTTAATATAAGTATATCACATACTAGCTTATAAAGTGAGAGTATAAAAAATCAAGAAGATTCAAAAGAGTTTAACCATGTCGATAAATCAATTGATATAAATGATAATGGAACTCTCTGGCCAACAGGCCGGGTAAGAAACTAGTATAAAAACGACAATTCTCATTCAAATGCCAGATGTTCTCACTCGTGCCGATTCACCTAAATATTATAAAGTTTATCGGATTTTACTCCTACTTTACCAACTATTTCACCACGGTCAAACTAGGCCCATTACACGTGTCGCGAGAAGCGGAGAACCCGGGACGTACCTGGTGAAATCCACGATGAGGGGTGAGGCCCACGCCCAACTCGGCGATACAAGCCCAGATCCTCTGATCGGAGCCGTAGAAATAGTGGAACCGTTCAAGGCAACGGTCCAGATTCTCCACCAGGAGCTCCGCCAGCGGGTAGCTGACGGCGAACCCGCCACCGCCGAACGCCATCTCGTACGAGTGCATCACGACCTGCTCCACGCTCTCGGAGTTCCCGCCGATGTACCACATCTCGTCGTGATCGTACTCCGCCAGCAGGGAGGCCAGATTCTCCGGGAAGAAAACAGTGTCGTCGTCGCCCATCACGAACCACCTGACCCCCGGCAGCTTCAACCCGAAGCTGTCGGTGATCGTCCGTGCGATCCGGACGGCGGGTCGGGAGCTAGAGAACCCGAATTGGGTCCATTCGGGGGAGGAGACCCGGGTCGGGGCGGAGTTCGGGGCCGGGGAGGAGTCGGGTCGTTGGGCGTCCTCCAGCCAGACGAAACCACGTGTGCGGTTGGGGGACCACCAGACAGAATTGGACCTGCTGCGGTCATCCCACGTGTCGTTGGAGCCGCTGAGGGCGAAGAGGATGTGGGAGAGGTCGGTCGGGGAATTATTGTTAGGGTTCCGGCGGCTGGCGGTGGTGGGGGTGATTCCGCTTCTGTTGGGGTCGTAGAAGGAGGTGTAGAGGCCGATGGAGATGAATGAGAGGATGAAGAGGAGGATGAGGGTTTTCCCGACGATGGGGATTAATTGGAACGACTTGTAGTCTTGTTTGTTGTGCTTCGTCGTTGTCGTCGACGGTGGCGGTCGATTGTGGATCATAATTGAATTTGAATTGTGCACCCCACCGTCGATGTTGGGGTTACAGGGTGAGGAAACGGTTGCGCCGAATCTTCAACGAAGGGACGTAGGATGGAAGATCATGAGAGAAAGTACATTCACGTAAAGATTGAGAGAGGAGGAGGGGACTATCCTGAGAGGACATTGATTGCAAAATTGGAAGTCGAATGAAATGGAAGTTTCAGCGGGTTTGCAAGTTTGTACCTCGTAAGTTTTTGTAACATTGTAAATTGTAATGGTAAAAAAGTTAATTTTTTGCATTTATTGCATGGAGAGCTTTTTCACAGAAAATATCCATAATATTAATTACAGAAAAAATCGATAAAAATATACGAATCACTAATCAATTAACGATGTTAGTAATAATATTGTGATACAGATTCAAAATTTAAGTATTTAATCGGTATGCTTTCAAGAGGAATAACGTCACTCTATGAACATTTTCTCACTTTAGGAAACTTCATTTGTCATATATCCCAACATATTGGGCAAATCTTTGAGTATATCGGGTATATAACAAAAATATTCTCAGTGAGACAAGTAACGTCACAAATATTTTGATAAGTCCTCCATGTCCATCTTCTATCCTCGGCCTGCTAGAATTACTGCTTGGGCTGACTAAGTGTTAACGAGCTGGGCCCAGGCTCAACGATGCCCTTAACGAGTTAAGGCCTGTTATGGGCCTTCGTTCATCATCCAATTTCGGTGGTCGCCGAGAGTATACAAGGTTCGGCCCTCATATAAGTACATTACCTGGGTCAGTCCTCGGTGGCTGGCCCAGAAGAAATAAACAGGCTAGGTATGATTTGGTGTGGTAGTACTGGATGTTACTGGGTTTTAAATTTGCACCCTACGGTTTCAAATCATAGTGGGTTAGTTTGGAAGGTAATTAGGTATGACGTGATTAGCATTTATGATTGATAGTCAAGCATTAATTATTACTAGCTTATAACCCGGCCCGTTGGCCGGAATGTTTATACTTGATTTTTTATATTTTTTATGTTCTACCAACCTGTTTAATTTTATTGATAATCTTTCGATCGAGAATTCGAGATGATACATAAAGAAAGAATATATAGGTCGAACATTCAGAGAAATATCATCATCATTTGAGAATATAAAATATAAAAATGTATCATTGATCCCATTTTTATAATGATAATTAAGCCCAGTTAAAATATTATTAGTTAGTTGATTGTTAAGAAAGATATAGTATAAAAGCTCACTGGAATTCCCACACGACCCATAGATAGTTTGAAACTGAATCTAAAACCTCACAATCCTACATAAATGGTTCAATGCTCTCATTTTGGGGGCAATATGCCACTAATCAAAAAGAAATTGAGTGTTGTAGGTTCAAGTCAACTATATACTAACAACTTAGCTAAGAGGGAACCATCAAAACTTGAGAGGAAACGATAAAATTGGGTTACCTCCAATATACTAATAGACTCGATCAGAATAATAAGACGCAAAATTAGACACTCCTTATCTATCAGTTCAAGTAGGTTGAGAAAAGAATCGACCTACTTCATTAAATCAATAAATGATTCCTCGTTTTAAGATAGAAATATGTTGTGGTAGCTGCAAAAATCATAAACCTAAAGATCCAATAGCCACCACTCTCCATTGAACGACCAAATTTTTTTCTATTCTATCTTCATTCTCAAGAAGCATATGTTTCAACCAAACATTCACTTTCTAATCTTCCTTCTGCAACCCCAATACTGCTACTTTGATGGACTTTCTCTCTACGATCCTTAATTTCTCTTCCAATTGGGGTTCTTCTCAACTCACTCTTCAACTCCTCAATCCTCTTCATGTGTTTTGCCAAATCATCTTTCTCAGGGGCAGTTGTAATAACTTCGCTAAAACCAAAACTCATCTCCAATTCCATCAATATGCTCATCTCTCTCCTTGTCTGTCTTCACCTACTTCAGTACACTTCCATGCTCTTCAATACCCTCTCCATTTTCATTAATATCCTCTTCATCTGTCACTTCTCTCTCTTCAACTACTCTAGTTTTGTTTCTGCGTCTTTCAATACCCTCCTCAATTCGATCACTACCCTCAGCAACTCCCTCTTCTCTGCCTTAACCTGCTGCTGTTGATTTTTTCTTCCCCCGCCACTTCCATTCTCAAACTCAATCCCAACTCTTCTACTCCAAGTTCAACACCCCAAACTCCTTTACATGAAAGCTCAATTTCTAACTAATTCTAAAACATTATCAAAATTTGATTAGTGAGTTGGACCATAAGAATAAAAATTAATAAGAAAAATTATGGATGCGGAGAACGTTAGTTATGAAAAAATCAAACACGAGCGAAAATATTGTAATTGAAAAGAAACCTTTTTTCTAATTTTGATTTTATTTTATTATTTCAATAGCTAAGCAAAGAACAAAAATAGGACAGTACAACTGCCCTTATTCTACAGAAACATCTCTTTTGCTTTCAAACAAATATAGTACCCAAACCATCATTCAAATTCATTTCCTATATTTTATAAATCATTCATAAACAACAAACTTAGATAAAACGGGAAGGAAATAATAGCCTACCAGTTCATGTCGATGAACCTTATATGAAGATATAAACTCATTGAAGTTGAAACCTAATAACAGAAAGAGGAGAAATGACGCAGGAGATCCACCGAGCTTTAAACATCGTATCAGGCAATAGGATCAAAAGGAATAGATATGTTGCATGTTTTGCTCATGAGACAACGTGAAAATAAAATTCGTTTTGTTATTAATCATAAAGATAAACCATGAGACATGGAGAAGAAATGAATGACTTACATGTGCAAAGCGATTAACCTTGGTCGAAGACCGAAAACCTATTAAAGGTCAATGCCTGGTATAGGAAGAGGAGTAAATGGAAAGATATAACTGATCAAACATTGTCTTCGGCAACAGAAGGAGCAAAAAGTTCTTCTCGTAGTACATCGGGGAGAGACATAACCATTGGGTGATGCCAGTGCAGATAATAAAGGCCAGACCATAACTACTTGATTGAACTCCATTCTATTTGTCATGGATTGATATGAGAGTTGAAATCTTCTACTTGCCTAGCTTAAATCCCCAAGAATAAAACTGCAGTGCCAAGATACCGAAATATTGATTTTCAAATGCGCCCATATATTGGGAAGTGAAAGCACGAATTTAAATTTATATTGAAAAATGCAAGGACACAACGCGTAGTAAAGGAAATAGGTTCTTCCATGTTAGCCAATTACCAATTTACTTGCGAAAATTAAGGAGCGAGTATGAATTTTAAATGAATAATATTACATGAAACTCTACCATGAAAAATAAAATATTAAGCACCATGAACATACATACGGTAGGCTGAGTGCGCTTGTTAATCATGACGGAAAAGTCCTCTGCTTTTCACAGTTTAAATACATGTATGTTTTGTATGAAAAAAGGAACAACAAATATATTTAGTATAATTGGTTATGATTGCTATCTTTGTTTGAAGATCCCTAGGTTCGAACAAAGATCCCCAGGTTCGAGTCTTGATATTGATATTTTTTATCTGAAGTAAATAATTAATAGTAAAGACAAAAATTTCCTTCCTACTTTCACTCTCGTTTCAGAAAATTTGAAATGGAGAAAAGTTTACAAAGCTCTATTATATATTATTGGAGGATTTTTTATGATTAATCAAAAATTGCATTAAGCACGGGAGTTGCAAACGACAAACTCCTCCTCCAAGTACAACCAGTTTATAATCAAAACATTAACAACTCAATATAACTATCTATGGTATGGAAAAACAAAAACCTATCGTTGCTTCATTCCAACTTCAGGGCTTGTTTGACAATATCCACTTCACTTCCTTTTCAATCCTTCCAACAAGCCTCCTAGGGGAACAATTTACAGCATTGTGACTTCTGCAGCATCTCTCACGCCATATATAACTGATGCAAAACGACCATCTCAACCGTCCTTCACTTGATATCAACGTGCTGCTGGACCACTGTCTCGTTGCCCAGCTTAAGTGTTCTACCCATGGAGTGAAAGCAGGGAGCTGGCAGGACTTCCTTAGCACTTTAGACAAGACATAGCTACTGTAAGGCCATCCAAAAAAGAGGTGATCTCTCGATTCTTCTTCACCAGGACAAAGAAAACAAGCTCACTCCCCAGCCAAGTCCCAGCCTACCAGTTTATCCTTTGTGACAATACGATTGAATACTACTAACCATAACAGCAAACTATGCTTGGAACTAAATGGTTTTCCCCAAACAGCATTATACCAAACAATAAGAGGGCGAGGACTCCGTATAGTATTCCATACAAGCTTGACAGAGAACTTAGGTAATATCTCTCCATCCCAAGCAAGCAGATTACTCAAGCATTAATTTACATATACAATGGGCGTACAATAGGTTGTCAATCCGCGGGTTGATCCGGACTCGGTCGAGCTAGTGGGTCAAGGGTTAATGGGTCATCCGGTTTAGCCCGGAAATATGGAAGGAGTCATTATATTGTACTTATCTTGATAAATTATATCAAATTTTATCTAACATATGAGTTATAACATATAATATTACACCAAAATAACATGTCGTACTTAGATCCAACATATAGTGAAAATTCACACACACTTATATAACATAAATATTCAAATGTTCAACTTAGAATTCCAAAGATTGAGTTAGGCGAAAAGAAAAATGGGAAAATATGCGTGTTTGAACCTAACTGAGTGTAGGAGTGAGGTTCAGGTGAGAATTTGGGTCAAGAAGAACGCAAGCGTGGGAATTGATCGGAAGGAGAAGAATTGGAGAGTACGATGAGAGAGAGCCAGAACTTTTGAGAGAGAAGTCGTTGCTATAGAGAGAGAATGCCTGAAAAATGCGATCCCCTCACCCACCGTAGTAAATGCCGTATTTATAGGCTTCATGGTGGTGGGTGAGTGGTTGACTCATGTGAGGATACACTGATGTGACTACTGGGATACAATGATGTGACTACTAACATACTAAGGATTTTAGGCCATGTCCTGGCCATCCCTCTACCTAGGACGTGTCAGAGACCTGTCCATGGGCCTGATGTGACTACCTTCTGGGGAGGAAAGCTACGCTTTCCTCATCCCTTGGTTTAGCCTACGCTATGCTCTC